ATTATGAAGTTGATAGTTAATCAAATGAGTCTTTAGGGTCATATCTTAAATAACAGTGCATTTCCATAAATGGAACTGCCAAGTAATGCTTAACTTACTTCAATCAAGTGAATTTAGATTGAGAGTGCACCTTCCCCTTGAAAGAGACCCAAGAAGTGAGTAACACCAAGTACTATTAAATGTAGAAAACAGCTGTCTAACTTTAAGGTACGTAAGATGATCTTATCTAGAACTTGTTCTGGAAGAGCTGAATACTAACTTTCTCCCTAAAATACAGTAAGTAGGAGCTTGGGGATGTAGGATAGCTGAGACCTTGGGTTCAGTCCCAAGCAACACAAACGCAAAGTAACAAAATCTCAGTGATATTCCCAGGAAAAACATCTGAGGAAATTTAAATAACTTTAATATTTGTTCATTAAGCCCAGTGTGGTGATGGATGCCTGTAATCCCAAACTCAAGGAGGAGGAGGAGGCGGGAAGACTGCAAGTTCAAGCCCAGCAGCCTGGGCAATTTGTCAATTTAGCAAGACTCTGCCTAAACAAAGAAAGAAACAAAGAAACAAACCAACAAACAAATAAGGCTGGGGTGTAGCTTGGTACAAAGGCTCTGGTTCAATCCTCAGTACTGAAAAACTTTTGTTCATTAAGAATGCTTTAAGTCTCTTTTTAATCTCTTAAATATATAGAATGACTTTTTGTAAGTAAATAATTCAAGTTCATATCAGATTGAGGATAACATCTTAATTTCTTGAATATTTGTGTAAAAACTATAGGGTGTTTTATAGCCCTCAGTCATACGTCTCCTTGTCTCTATTCCACATTCATCAAAAAGAGACTATCAAACTTTCAAACTGTTGTTCATGGTATGGGTCAAAAATAGTATCTCATCGTACTTCTTTAGCTACTGCTTTATCCTTTTTAACAGCAGTGTAATATTTCTTTGCAGGATAGTAATATATTATTTTTATTTTAAAATTTCCCTATTCATGGTGTTTTATGTTCTTTCCATGTTTTTGTTCTTGTGAACAATGGTGCAATAAACTTTTTATATACATCTTTACAAAATTAAATTCAATATTTTGCTACAGTTAGTTACACTGCCTTAGAAAAATGCTACCCCTGTGTCCTGGTGTATTGACCAATGGTGCTACAAAGTCCAACTTTTGGATAAGCACAAAATCTTACTTTAGAGAAAATTTATTTTAAAAAATTCTAAATTCTTAGAATAAATTGTTAAAACTATTTTAGTTCATATTTTATAGTTTTACATTTTATTAGTAATAAAGTCTTACTGCTTGCTTTTATCTATATAGATAACTTGATTTTGGAAACAAATATGTAAACACAAAAGCCCAAACTTACAAAACAAATAAGTTAGGGAGTAACTATTTGCATTACAAAATAATTATTTGCTTTCCAAAATGGTACCAATTTAAATTTAAAAGACATTGACAATATTTAAAATACAGCCAGATTTGCAAAAATTCAACTTACAACATTTTCCAGAATATATCAAGCACACATAGTGAGATATATCCAGTTGGACTTGATTTTATGAGTCTGAGGAGGTCAATTTAATCTGCTGCTGTTTTTCTCCAAGAGGCATATTGTGCACAGCGTAAGGAATTGCAAACGATTAACATAACTGTAATTATGTGATTTTTCTGTCTAAAACTCTTGCTTTAAAAAAATCATTATTAAAATCTACTTCAAAAGCGGAAGGACTATCCATTTTCCTTCCCTTGCTTTTCAGGCTTCCCATGCATGCCAGCCAGCAGAGTGGCATATGGCACATAACATGCATAGTCAACCTCCCACCAGCATATTTGCAGAACCAACAGTACATATTGAACCAAGCCACACCTCATGTAAGAGACTTGTAATCATCCTTTACTCTTTGGAGTAGGAGAGTGGTGGTAGGTGGGGGTGGAGGAGGAAGACTTGATTGTTGGCAAGATAGCTGAAGGGAATGGAAATACAGCATTACCGAGGGTGTGGGGGGGGGTAGGGTGGCTTTCTTATTCATTGGCTCTAATTCCCTTGCCAGACACATGAAATGACAATGCTGTAGGGCTTAGAAAAATTGGGGCAACTGTGGGGCAGTGGGCGGCGGAGAATGTATTAATGACAGCCTGCCTCGGCCTTTGAGTGGCAGATAAAGCACACAGATACACACTCCTCACACTGTACCAGCCTGGTCCTGTCGAACAGAATTTCTCAGTCTTTTGTCCCAATCGCTCATCCTTTTTGAGCCCAATTCTAAATATGCAATATGCCATTTTAAAATACTTTCTTTTTTTTGTAAGAGGTATCTGTCCACCATAGGAGCTTGAAAGGAGAGTCTGGCGTTCGGCCAGCACGTTTGGGAATCCCTGCCTGCACTCTGACCATAATTAGCATGTTGCTTTCAGAATACTGTACTGGCCCAGGGAGAAGGCGGTGCAGACCAGGCCCCTTTGGCACTTCCCTTTTTCCTTTCCTCTCTCACCAGCCCTTACCCCCAGCTGCCTGCAGGATCAGGTCCTCTGAGCACCCTGGCTGCACCAGGGGCCTGTTTGGCACTTTCTGAGTGTATGGCCTCCTTCTAGAAAAGGATCAAACTATCTTGTTTTATGAGGTCAGTGGGAAATTAAAGTAATGAAGTGGGAAAAGGATGGGATCAAGCAACAGAAGACCTGGGTTTACTTTCAGCTGGGCCACTACTTAACCGTGTGACCTTGGGCAGGCAACTGAATCCAACTAGACCCAAGTTTTCTCACCAGATCAATGAGGGTTGAATAAAGTGATCCAGGGAGTGAAACCGAAATAAGTGACCAGTTTGGGGAAGGATTGTACATGTGTGTGTGGTGGCTATGTGCAGTATGGAAAGATAAATCCAAAGGAAGAATAGGTAAAAGCAACCACAGCATGCAGGCCCAAAAGTGAAAGCAAGCAGCTGGAATGCTGGGAGGTCCAGGAGAGAAAATCCTTTCCTACTGACACTGTATAGCAGATTACTCCAAAGCTTAGAGGTGTAAACCAAAAGCTAATTTGCTAATGTTTTTAGAAATGATTCTGTGGGCCAAGAACTCAAGAAGGACTTGGCTGCCACTTGGACACTGGGTTTCAATGAGGTTACAGGGAAATAAGGTTGGGGAGTGCCACCATCTGAAGCCTTGGATGGGCTGTGTGCCCAGAGTCCCTCCCCAGTCTGCCAGGGGAAGCAGGCTGTTGCTGCAAGGTCGGCAGGTGTGACCAGAAGGCCTGCCCAACAGGCAGGGGATTGGGCTCTTATGGAGTAGCTGGCCTCACCCGCAGCAAGTGTCCCAGGAGAGCCCCATGGCCTTCTCTGACCCAGCCTGAGGTCTTGAGGTGAGACTTCTACCCCTCTGAGTTGAGGTGTCCTTAGCCCATCCTGATCGCAACAGGGGATGGGGCCCTTATCTTGATGGGACGATCTTGGAGAAGGTTGGGGCCATGGTTTAAAAGTTCCCCAGGCACCTTCCAAGAGCACTCTGGTTTCCTCAGTATCTTTGAAATAAATGTCTTGATAATGTATATAATTTAATCAGCTCCTGAGACAAGAGGCTCCCTGAATAATCTGGTTTGCTGAGTCCTTAGGAGGTAAGTGTACTTAAAGAGTCACTGCATTTTCGAGTAAATTATATGGCTCCACACTGGAGATAACTTTAACCTCTGCAGCTGTTTGAAGTGAGTAAAGTTAGCTACATAATTCCTCAGTGCAGGGAAAAGGTAAAGAGCTGTAAAACAATCAGATAACCAGACTATGATTTCTAGGCTGATTTGAAAGCTTCAGAAATAGGCTTCTGTTGTTGGGAAGCTGACAGCACCGAAGTGCTGCAAAATATGGGGGAAAGAGACCCTGTTACCCGGAGTGCTTGGGGCCGGCAGTGCCCAGGGACAGCGTTCCACCAGCTCTCAGGTGTAGCTGTCACTGCTCGGGCCCTAATTGCTCAGGCCCGTGGTGGAACAAACACATTCCACGTGCTCTTCCTTGGGTCTCATTTCAGTGATTATTTCTTCCCATTTTATGCAGCAGCCATCACATGGATTTTAGTTTCTGGGGATTAAGCAGTTTCTGAAGGTTGTTATCACTCCCCTTCAGTGGAGCAGATCTTCAAACACCTTCCTGGATAATTACTGTGGCCCAGTGATTAGGGAATCACCACAGAATGATTTTAAACACACACACACACACACACACACCTCAAGTGAGTCTCTTTGTGTTTGTTTTCCGTATTTCCAAAGCCCAGTGGTTCATGAGAGACAGTAGAAGGACAAAATAAGGAGACATATGGTAGTGCTTAAATTATTCCCCAAAAGGGAAAGTGTCCAATATTAAATTATTCAGTCTTTCTACTATTCTGAGGTAGAGAAGAGGCATTTCAACCAAGAAAATCATAGTGTACCCACAATGCCCAAAGGAGACTGAATTATATTATCAACATCCAAATACAGTCAGCAATATTTCACCAGAAAAGCTGCTTTGCAAAAATGAAACCTCTAATGTTTACACTGGGAAATACCTCCAGTCCTTCTCTACCATCTCCCCAGATCTCCCCCCCCACACACACACATGTACACACACACGCGCGCGTGTACACACACACGCGCGCGTGCACACACACACACACATCTTCCCAGAATCCTGTTTGTTTTGCTCACCTCTTTTCTCTTCATACATACACAGGTAATTCTGTACTGAGATGCTCACCATGTCTCCAAAAGGAAAAGCTACATAAAGTAGAATTACTTTAAAAAAAAATTCTAAAAACCTATAGTTTCATCTGATATAGGCCATGGAAAATGGCAGGAGAAAAGAGATCAACTAGACAATTTCTGGAGATCTCTTTTCCCCTAAATTGATAACTAGAGAAGCTAGTGGGGTCTGGGGTTCAACTTCTTCTTATTTATTTATTTATTTATTTATTTTTGGTACCACGGATCAAACTTGTGTCCTTGCATTTGCAAGGCAGGCGGTGGAACCACTGAGCTAAATCCTCGGCGTCTTCTTCTTATTTTTACTTGGTTAATGCAACTGTGCTTCAATCCACTCAACCCAGGCCTAGGCTTGTTATATAAAGGTGTCATAGAAAGAGAGAAATTTTGAGGAACATTTTTAATTCTAAAGATAGGCAATACATTCACATAATATAACACAAAAATATAAAAGTGTGTTGAGAAGCCTGTGCTCATCAATCCAATTCCCTCACTGCCCCTCTATAAGCGAATGTGTTGTTAGTTTCCTGTGCATCCCCCAGGTTTGTGCTGATCTAAGCAAACACATACATTCCTCTACCACTATTTTTGAAAAAGAATTTAGGAGTCAAGGATATGGTCTCACGTATCCTAGAGGAGGGTATGTGGGCAGAGAAAACACCTCGGCTTCTCAGTGGCTTGTAAGAGTAGATGTGATTTCTCAGTTACTTGAATAGGACGTTCACTGTTTTGATTTTGATTCCTTGGTTAAACCTATTCTTTGGGCCTCTTCATTCTTTAAACTTCCAAAATCTTTGTTGTCTATACAAGAAAAATGTTAGAAAATTTAGTCATTTTCTTTGTCTAACAGCAAAAACACATGTACCCCACTTGTCAGAAAAGAACAAAAAGCATACCAGCAGCGTGGTGTGGGCACCTGTTTTGGAGAGTGTCATCCCAGGTCCAAGTGTTCATGAACCTGTATGTTCTTACAGCCTGTGTGCTGGCCTTGGCTCACAGGGAGAAGACATTCCATCCATAGTCTTGTCTCTTGCTGTTTTTTATTTTATACCTACAAATAGAGAAAAAGTGGGCTGAGAAATATAGTTACGCATCACCGAAAGATGGAGGGGTTGAAAAATGCATTGGTAGACAGTTTTGTCCTTGTGCAGATACTGTAGAGGGAACTCACCCAAACTTAGATGGAATCACCAGTGACACGCCCAGGCTCTGTGCTGCATGTATATAGTATACAGGAGCCTAGGGCCATGTGGGACAAACCAGCACCAGCTTAAGCACAAGAAAAATAACATAATCAAGGATGTAGTGAACATGAGATGATATTGTTTTACAGTCAACTTTTTTCTTATACATAGGAGAATACTCTAAATAATGATGAAAGTATAATACAGTAAATATATAACCAGGAAACAAAGTTGTTTACTGTCACCATCAAATATTACACACTGTACATAATTATCTGTGCTGTACAAAAGTACAACTGGCAGCTCAGATATTTGTTTCCCCCAGCACTGCCATGAAGGAAATGTCATCGAAATGCATCGTACAATGAGTAATGGACTGTGCTAAAGTATTACAAGTGCTATGCTGAACGTCACCAGGGAATAAAAATTTTCCAGCACAATTATAATCTCATGGGACCACTGTCATACACATGTGTGGTCTCTCGTAGACTAGAACATCATTATGCACGGCATGACTGTTATTCTTCTGACAATGAGGACTCTCACATAGGCTAATTTTGTAGATTTCAGAAACTGCAGGAATGTGATGCAGGTAGACAATTGAAGCTGGGGACTGTGTGGGACTATGCCAGAACCCAAAAACAATGAAGTAATTTTAAAACTCATATTTCAAATACATTAAAACACAGTAACAATGCAATTTGTTGTCATTTTTTGGTGTAGTGTTCCATGCCAAATGAATAAAAGATGAATTAAATTGTAAATGACATATAGAATAAACTATTACATGAGTGCATATTGTAGCAATTGTTTTACATTGTAGTGCTTTCCTAAAGCATTATATGATAGGTGAGTTTGTAAAAATCAAATAAAATTTGATTAAATATTTAAAGA